ACACACACTTACCATGGGTATTCTAGTGTTACAACTCTTACTACTACGATCATTCTAATAATGATACACACACTTACTATGGGTATTCTAGTGTTACAACTCTTACTACTACGATCATTCTAATAATGATACACACACTTACTATGGGTATTCTAGTGTTACAACTCTTACTACTACGATCATTCTAATAATAATACACACACTTACTATGGGTATTCTAGTGTTACAACTCTTACTACTACGATCATTCTAATAATGATTCACAAACTTACTAAGGGTATTCTAGTGTTACAACTCTTACTACTACAATCATTCTAATAATGATACACCCACTTACTATGGGTATTCTAGTGTTACAACTCTTACTACTACGATCATTCTAATAATGATACACACACACTTACCATGGGTATTCTAGTGTTACAACTCTTACTACTACGATCATTCTAATAATGATACACACACTTACCATGGGTATTCTAGTGTTACAACTCTTACTACTATGATCATTCTAATAACGATACACACACTTACCATGGGTATTCTAGTGTTACAACTCTTACAACTACGATCATTCTAATAATGATACACACACTTACCATGAATATTCTATTGTTACTACTTAAGATAATTTTTTATTATAAAAATTATACTACCACAAAAAAGTACAATGTAAACAAAATCTTTCAAACTGTGCACAAACACAATATATAACCATACAAACACACACACACACAAAATAAATTTAAAAGTAAAACTTAGGTCACACATATTTGCAGCCGATACTTAAAACTATCCATTCTTACTTCTCCTGAGTAGCCAGCTTTTCAACTTCTTCCTGTTTCTCACTCAGTTCTCGTACCACTGCCAATAACTGTTCGTTTTTCATTTGGAGCTCTTCAATGTCCCTAAAGTTAAAAAAGAATCTGTTTAAAACTGTTAACATGTTAGTAGCCTATATGATCACCTAAGCCTAATTATTATTTGATTTATATTATTTTAATTATTAAACACTTGTAACTAATAACTTCATATCCTATTATTCTTCATAGATACTGGTTAAGAAAAATAAAACATCAGTACGAGTTTCATAGCCTTAGATACTTGTACTGACAACTGATCATAGCAATGTTTGATATATGATCATCACAGCCTTACTGTAAGTAATATTTGAAATATTCAATGATTGTTTCTTCTACTTTCATGTTATAATCTTACTGTTTGAAATAAGCTTCTCCAGGTTTTTGCTTATACATGAACATTTCATTCAATAAAGCCAAACTACTCCAACTTTTGTTTGTACATAACATTATATGAAATAGAACTAACAATTTATTTAAATAAAACTAAGCCATTTCAGATTTCTGTATAAACATGAACATTTTATCAAATAAAATTATGCTACTTCAGACTTTGTGAAAAAAAACAAGGAATTTATCTAATACAACTAAATTCCACTATAATTTTGTTCACACATGGACATTATATTAAGTGCAGTACCTAAACGAAACGAGTTGTTTTGTAATGATAGAACTGGAAGCTGACTGGTCAGTTGAGGTTACCTCTTCATCTTGGTCACTTCTAGTTGTTGCCACATAACCCCCTCGTGCCTCCTCAACTTCTTTAAGAAGGACTCGAACCTGAATAAAGTTGAATCAACCAAAATTTTAGCTCTTCTTATCACACTATTATAAGTAAAACTTGGGTAAATAGTCCAGTTCACTATTACTGCTGGTATAACTTTCACGTAAACACGATCCAGTTCACTGTCACTACTGGCATAACTTTCACGTAAACACGGTCCAGTTCACTGTCACTACTGGTATAACTTTCGCTAAACACGGTCCAGTTCACTGTCACTACTGGTATAACTTTCACGTAAACACGGTCCAGTTCACTGTCACTACTGGTATAACTTTCACGTAAACACGGTCCAGTTCACTGTCACTACTGGTATAACTTTCACGTAAACACGGTCCAGTTCACTGTCACTACTGGTATAACTTTCACGTAAACACGGTCCAGTTCACTGTCACTACTGGTATAACTTTCACGTAAACACGGTCCAGTTCACTGTCACTACTGGTATAACTTTCACATAAACACAATCCAGTTTTACATTGTTATTATTATGAAAATTAACTGCAGGCAATCATAATCATGTCTTTATTATGTATAATTGCTTAACTTTGCAAGGCTAAGTTATATTAATAACAAGGAGAGATAAAGTTTTATTAAATGTTACTTCTTAAATCTGAAAAAGACTAAACTTCAAGCAAAAAAAAAAAACTGTTCCAACTTGATCATGAATATTTCACCTGCTGAGAAAGATCCACAGTAAGTTGTGCCTTTCGCTGATTCTCTCTCTCCAACTGAGAGCGAATACGACATGCATCGTCTCGTTCCTCTTGAAGCTTTTCTTGTATCTATGATTGTGGAAAGTTTCAGAATGAAACTGCAGCTAAACTTATGGAAGGTTGCAATGTGAAATTGTGTAAACTGGAGCTAAACTTATGGAAAATTTCAATGTGAAATTGTGTAAACTGGAGCTAAACTTATGGAAAATTTCAATATGAAATTGTGTAAACTGGAGCTAAACTTATGGAAAATTTCAATGTGAAATTGTGTAAACTGCAGCTAAATTTTATGGAAAATTTCAATGTGAAATTGTGTAAACTGGAGCTAAGTTTCTGGAACATTTCAATGTGAAATTGTGTAAACTGCAGCTAAAGTTATGGAACATTTCAATGTGAAATTGTGTAAACTGCAGCTAAAGTTATGGAACATTTCAATGTGAAATTGTGTAAACTGCAGGTAAAGTTATGGAACATTTCAATGTGAAGATATGTAAACTGCAGTTAAACCTATGAAAGGTTTTGTTCAGATTGTTTAAACAGCAGCTAAAGTTATGGATTGTTTGTCTGTTTTGAATTTCGCGCAAAGCTACACGAGAGCTATCTATACTAGCCGTCCCTAATTTAACAGTGTAAGACAAGAGGGAGGGCAGCTAGTCATCACCAACTCTTGGGCTACTCTTTTACCAACGAATAGCAGGATTGACTATCACATTATAATGCCCCCATAGCTGAAAGGACGAGCATGTTTGGCAAGATGGGGAATCGAACCCACAACCCTCAGATTGCGAGTTAAGTGCTCTAACCACCTGGTCATGCTGGGCTAAAGTTATGGAAAGTTTCAGTGTGAAATTGGTAAACTGCAATCACAGTTATGGAAAGTTTCAATGTGAAATTGCGTGAACTGCAGCTAAGGTTAAGGAGTTTCAGTAAGACATTGTGCAAGTTCCAGATAAACTTAAGTTTTTATGCAAGACAGTAAAAACTGTATCTAATAATTGTGAAAAATTTTAGTGTGAACGAGTAAAAACTGCAGCTAAAAATTAATTTTGGTAAAAAATTTACATCGAAATTGAGCAAAAGGTTTGTTTGTTTGAAGTTAAGACAGAAAAATCACCCAAATTGAACATGTCCAAAATGTGAAGCTGAGCAAATTAACTAACAACTTTTCTGATAGTTTTGATCCTGATAATTTGATTGTGAACCTCACTAATATTACATTAAGTAACCAATGTAAATCTGCCCTAGCTAAAGGACTTAATTTCTCTCTTCCTACGCGAAAACTGAATTATGCTAATTTTCTTTATCCATTCGAACTGCTATACAGAAATCTGAAAGACCTTCCCATGTACGATAAAGGCAATCTTAATCAATCCCATGATTTTTTTATTATTAAATTAAAAAATCTTGCTCTATCTACATTTTATAATTTTAATAGTAAGAGAGAACCTAACCCTCTAACCCCTGACGAAATCTTAGCCTTAAAATAATTGTCACTAAATAAAAACATCCATGTTACATGCCCTGATAAAGGCAACACCATTGTTATTCTGAACAAAAATGACTACGTTAATAAAATACATGATATTCTGGACGATCCTACAAAATTTAAAACCTTAAACAATGACCCTTTATCTCTTAGCATCCAACGTGAGGAAAAAATCCAAAGATACCTAAGAGAACTAAAGCACAAAAATATTATATCTGAAAATGTTGCTTCTTTGCTTTATCCCACTGGCTCTCATCCTGGTATGTTATATAGCCTTCCAAAAATTCATAAAGCAGGTTCCACCCTACGACCCATTCTTTCCACTATAGGCACACCTAGTTACAAACTTGCTAAATTTTTTGTACCTATACTTCAACCACTCACTACTAATGAGTATACTATCCCGGATTCCTTCCACTTTGAAAGTGAACTAAGTCAACTACCCCCCCTCTGATAATCTCTTCATGGCAAGCTTTGATGTTACCTCCCTCTTTACAAATATTCCTCTAAATGAAATTATTAACATACGTATATCTGAATTTTCACGTAATAACATTTCTCTAAATGGGTTTTCTGAAAATCAAACTAAGACCATGCTGGATCTTACCACTAAGAATTCACATTTCTTGTTCAATAACAGCTTGTATGAACAAATAGATGGCGTTGCGATGGGCTCCCCACTAGGTCCAACTTTAGCTAATGCATTTCTCCCTCATTACGAACAGAAATGGCTTGACACCTGTCCAGTTAACTTTAGGCCTGTTCTGTACAGAAGGTATGTGGATGACATTTTTATTCTTTTTAAGAACAGTGATCAATGCTCAAAATTTTTAGAATACCTTAACTCACAACATCCTGCCATTAAATTTACATGTGACATTGAAAATAATAATAATTTACCTTTTTTAGACATGCTCATTAACCGTAATGCTAATGGATTTTCCACATCAATTTAGCAAAAAAAGACGTCCACTGGTCTCCTTATACACTTTGATAGCTTTATTCCATTTACGTATAAACGAAATCTTGTTACATGCTTACTAAACAGAGCTTACAACCTGTGCTCCACATATCTTAATCTACACTCTGAAATTTTGTTCTTACATGACATCCTGAAACGTAACTGCTACCCACGACACTTATTAGAAAACATTACCAACACCTTCCTAACAAAGAAACTCACAAATCCAATTAAGATACCAACTGTATCCAAACTTACTATACATTCGTGTCTTCCCTATACTGGTAAACAAAGCTTAAATTTAAAAAATCAACTTAAACGCATACTTGGTCGTGACTACCCTCAAGTGAATTTCAGATTAGTTTTTAAATCCACATCACGCATAAACAATTTTTTCACTACAAAAGATCTCCTTCCCATTCCTTATTGTTCCTGGCTTGTATATCTTTACACGTGTGGAGACTGTAAGGCCTCCCATATTGGCAAAACCAAACACCATTTAAAAGTCAGAGCCTATGAACA